CCTTCTGTCTGAACTTGTGACAAGGACCAGTGTGACTGTCAGATGCATTTAAAATGTAACTGCCGCTTTCCAGTTTCTATTCAGAAGCCACCTTCTGTGTTAGAGCTAGGCTTCTAATAGCAAAAAGTTTGTGAATGGCGCACAGAAGTAGAACAAAGGAAAAATACGACACTGCCCCAGTGTTATGTCACTGTAATATTTAAAATCTTTTCTGGTGAATAATTCTCAGACACAGCACCCAAAACAATATTACTGCTTTACATGCATTTCCATATTTTGTAACATAGTCATCGTATTGTATTAAGTCAGAAATATGCCAGAGGTATAGAAAACTATATGAAGTTGGAAAGGAAGAAATGTGGGATGTATATACATTAAAGAGGATGGACCCCTCACCAGGAAATGACTGCTGTACACTCATATTTAGTGAGCTCTGAAAGAGAGTGACGTCTTGTTTGCCTTTCTGCTTTACTCAAATGTAGATTATTCAGGGTTATTTTGAGAATGATCATGAACTGCTACTTTAAACACAAGTTCACTGTTAACTAAAGGGCTGTGCGACCATTGCCCCCCATTGCTTTTTAGGGTAGGAGTGTTTTGCCTCTCCTAATGAGTTTATCAATAAATACGGAAGAACTGCTGTTAATATTCACTCATTCGACTTTCCCCTTCTAGTGCTGATCACATACACACTTGTTCTAGTGTTCCTTTTTTTTTTTTTAAATAATAAATGAAAACAACCAACAGAAAACACTCCATTAATGTTCTGATTGATGATTCATTGGACTAGTAAAGCTGTCTTGAAGTTTTGGGGAATCGGGTACAAATTGAGATGTTGATACGGTGTTCTCAGGCAACAGGAACCTCTGTTTCAATAAAAACTTTGCAGGAAGGTGACTCTTTGCAAGACAGGTTGATTGACTTTCTACCTGAGGCTAGATTGTAGCTAGGAAAAAAAAAAAGAGGATACCCGCTTCTAGTCCTTCCAAAGTCAGTGCTACTTGTCTATATAGTTACCATCTTGTCTGCATTCAAAGAAAGACTTCAGAAAAAAATTATTAAACATAAAAGAAATTTCTTCTTCTATGCATCATGTCATCTATGTACCTACACTGCTAACTTAAGTGAAATGTGGACTTCATTAATTATCTCTTGTCATTTAATTACTAACTTTCCTAAATACTGTAACCTTTCTTAAGTGATTTTTTCCCCCATTTTTTCATTCTGCCTGTGATCTCTGTAAAAGGGATCAGTTAATGACACTTTAAAAATGTACAATGAAACAAAAAATAAACCCCAACCTAGAAATGTGAGGCATAAAGTCATTTGAGCAAGGTCAGCTCTGTCATAGCACACATCTTGCATAATTTATTTTAAAACATGGCTGGAATATCTTTAACTGCACATCTAACTGGAAACTGGAGCAGGAGACTATGTTCATCGTTACATTAAGGAAATCTTAACTTTAGGTTTTTGGGGTTGTTCTTTCCAATATTCCAGCTTAGGCTAAAATTATTGAAAAACTGTTTGGATATTTTGGATGAACAAGTCCTTAACATAAGTATGTTGCTAGGCATTCTTTAAGTCACGTGTGATATTTTCCACAACCAAAAGTAACCTTAGCTCAAAGCTTTGAAATGCAAGTATATCAATGCTCCCGAAATTGTTCTATTGAAGTGAAGTTTTTATGTTACTAAAAGAGAATATCCTTTTCCTGTCAGAGCTGAAAATGACGGTCATTTGTTTGGTGTTTTTACGCAGCCAGTATATAAATGTATCTCCTTTATGCTTTTCCATAGTGTGTATGTGACCATAATGGTAGCGTTTTATCAAGGTGTGGATTCTGCTGAATTTTCAAACAGATCAGCTCCCTGACTGATTGTCTGTGTGACTACAGCAGCACTATAACTGTTACAGCTGAGAAGTGATGCTGTGCACGGGACTCAGGTGTATCAAGGGCTTACGCTGGTATATGCCAGTGCTGAAACCATGACCTAGGCAGCAGTCCTGCCCTTTATGTGCATGCTTATGACCCTTCGACAACCCAGCTTGCCTCACTGTTACTAGAAGGATTTGCTAGCAATGGGGAAATAGGTATTAAATACCTAAGTTAAATACGATTGGACTGTGTGTCCTGGCCTTATTAGTTTGAAGTGTTGAATAGTTTACAGGTGCAGTCAAGTGTTTTTGCTACCTGTCACCTTTCACCATGTGCAATGAAAAATGTTGTTAGCTTAGTACAAGCTGATGGATTGCATATGCTTCCCTCCCACTGGGGAGTTGTCTTGGTTCCATGTGCAGGGGAAGAGGGAGCCTGTGTTTATGTCTGGGTGCAGTTTTGGGGTGGGTTTGATGGGGGGAGGGGATGTGTATGACTATTTTCTTGGCTGTTAGAAGAGGAACAGAATAAATTGTTGTAAGTTTTCAAGAATTCTGTAGTTACTCCATTATTTTACTAGGTAATCAGAATAGTTACTCCTCCTGCTCCAGTGAAACATCATCACATCAGCAATGATGCAACAGTGGCCTGAGCACTTAACTATAAAGCAAAACTTGAATAAATTAAAATCCTGGACTACTATGTGCTTTCAGAAATTTCTAATTTTTGCTTTCTTTTCCTCTTTGAATTTTCAGTAAGTAGATTCAGATTTCTTTTTATAGATTGTTGCTGGTTGAAACCAGTTTTTTTTAATATAATTGTAATTCTGGTTTTCTATTTCAATTTAAACCAACTTTGTTAAACTTTACTAAAGTATAAGGAATCCTGATCTCTGGACCCACATTAAAATCAAGTAGGGAATGAAAAGCAATTGGTAGGTGTTAAAATAGTAAATCCTCAAACTCTTTTTTTAGCTTTGTTTGTTTGTTTGTTTTTCAAAGCGTTTTAGGGAATGATGGATTATAAACTTCAAGATCAACAAAGATATTTTAGCTGTGTTAGTGCAGCTCTGTGAGAGGCCTCCAGGTGATTCCTTGTTGCTTGCTCTCTTGTTGCTGCATGCGCCTGTGTGCTGTGGCCGTAACGTGCTCCTGCTGAGATTTGCTATAGAGTAGTTGCATTGCACAGGTGTACAGTGAAATGGGGTGGAAAATTGTGCTGCTTGACTTTAGTAAAGAGTGAAAAAAAATGTGCTGTCAACCTTTGTACAGCAATAAAGGTTTATGGTTGGGTTAATGAGCAGCTTTTTTAAACTATAAATTACAGTTTCTCCAAACGTGTGATAAAATAAGAAATCTTTTGCTCTTGCTGATTTCATAACGCACAAGTGCATAGCATCCGTTTTAGAAACTTAGAAGTATTTAAAACCTTGGGGTTTAGTAATAATTTTTTTCTACAGATGGAAAAGTTTAATGTTAAAGAAGAATATTTTAGGATTCTAGGTGTATTTTACATTTAAATGATTCTAGGTGTCATGGCACTGTTATTTGTTTGTTTTTAATAGAATGATAATCTGATTTACCCTTTCTAGGCTATGTGACCCCATCTTTATGGTGAATATAAAGCCATAGTTCCCTGTAGACTAATAAAAACCTATGTTCTTAGGTAATTGAGTTCACAGATAGTATTTCAAGCTGACATTATATCTGCTCGTGTCAACTTACTGGTTCATTTTATTGAAAAGGATCATGTTGCTCACAAGGCAGCCTAGTGTCCTGTCTAGCTGATGTTTTTTCTGGTGCATATTATGGTCACAGGTGTGAGGGAGCAAAAGCTGTTAAGTTAGAGTACAATAAAGAGCAACTTTAGAGGTTGATAGGAATATTAGTAATTCAGTGAGAAGTGGAAAACGTAAACTCTGTGGATTTCAGGATAGCTGAATCTTGACTTTTACAAGAAAAGCAACCATCTAAATACATGGTAAAGAAACCAGGAATTACCTTCATACAAGAAAGCAACGCAGAACTAAATGTCTGTGGCATGCTGAGTGATGTTGTGATGGGCTGTGCTACTTCTGATCTGAGAAAAATCTTAATTTTTCTTTTCTAAGGAGACTTAATATTTTGGAGAGGATTTGTTAATTTATTTAATATGTTTGTTTATTGTTCTAGAGGCTTTAAAATAATTATGGTGCTTTTAGATATTAGCTGCAATGAACATCCACAATTTACAATTTCTAAAATCTGAAACCTGTATATGGCATTTTTAAAAGAGTGATTGTGTGTTCAGCTGTGTATTTCAAATCCACTTTCAACAGAAATATCAATAATATCCAGAAATTAAAAACCCAAAACCCAATACTGCTAGTCTTACAATACACAGATTTCTTTCGCATCAGCAGATAGATTAAAGTTATCTGAATTTTTAATGCATTTCCAGTTGTAACAAAAATGGGTTACTTAGAAGAGCATCAAAGAAAAGAATGCTTGTTTGTTTTATGTGTCTTAAAATACTTAAAGTGAGGAGAAATACAGCCTGGATTTAGTAAAGATAAAGGGAGCATTCAAGCTACTTACTTACTGCATTCGGATTTATTAGTTAAAAGTCATCCATACCAATGCACATAGTGTGGAATCCTATTTATCGTATTTGTTTTCCGTACTTTCTGTGTGCTGTTTAACTCTGATGGTTCTCAGTGTGCTATTTATGTTCCATGTTGATCAAAGAAAAATTTATTGGGTGTACTCAATTGTACATTCTTGTTAAATATGCATTGTTCAAACCTATGACTGTAAATACATGATATGCTAAAAATATTTGGTAGTAATGCACAAGACTACTTATAATATGCAAGAATAGAGATATGTCGAATATAACAAAATATATACAAAATATATAGCTCTAGTATGTTCTTTTGGAAATAATGGCAGTTATATTTCTAAATGTTAGATGTATATAGTAATACTTTTTGTCTTAAAAAATAATAGTCTTCATCATCACTAAGAAATAGTTGAGGTGCATTTCAGTCCATGTTTTAAAGCATGGTAGCATAAAAATTAAATCCACTAAGACCTGACTGAAGTTTGCATTAACTGAAATTCTTTGTGTTGTGTCCCCCTAGGAAGAACAGGCTGCTAAACTCAAAGCTGAGAAGATCAGGGTTGCATTAGAGAAGATTAAAGAGGCACAAGTGAAAAAGGTAAATTATTCATGCTGTTTTGTAAGATCTTTATTTTAATCATACTCACCTGGAAAATGCAGGCGGAATTCTTTTTATGTTGTTTAGTTGCCCAAAATAAAATAGGAACTCCAGTGTTCTGATCTTGAGTGATAACGTACTTTCTCATATACTGGATCTAATCAAGAAAACCCTAGTATGTGGAATAACATTAAGTTTTTCTTAAGGAGTAGCTTATTTTGCAGCAGGTGCTGCAAAAGACATTGACAACTTCCACTCAGAGCTGAAATGAAGGTCCAGCCTCCTGAGATTGTCTTTGTGTATTAAGCCGTCACACATTTAAAATTTGGGTCTATTTTCTTTACAGAGCCCTTGCCGTTATGCATAGCAAGATTTTCCAGTCGTTAATGGAATAAAAGCATTCTAGACTAGAGTCAGGGGTTACCAAGTGGAGAAAGTCTGCTGACACCACTTGATGCACTATCAAAGAATAGAAAGCTTTCCCTTGAAATTTAGCATTCTTATTTTACATTTGGAGTTTTTCAGTAGCTTAAAATGCCCTTTACATTTAGTGTCTATATGCCAAAAGCTAAAAAACTGTCCTGACTGGAAGACAGGAATTAGCAAGCCAATCAGCGTATTACAACTAGTATGTTTTAACTTTTCCAGCTGAACGAGGTGTAAGAAAGGACGCATAATGATTGGCAAGAAGAATCTATTATCTTAAGCTTGGTTGAAAAAATGGCTGCATTTTTCTTTCTGGACAGTCACCTCTTTAAAGTGCCTATGAAAAGCCATTGTGTTTAAAAGGCAGATTTCTTTTGCACTCATGTTTCACACTCCCCGGAAAAAGAGTATTTAGTATACGTATATTTTTACATAATCAGCATTTTTGGAAAATATGGAGGAAACAGACACAAAGCTTGAATTGCAAATCTGAAAAATTCTGATTCTGTATAAGGTTGTGCAGAACTCTATATCTGTGTTTGTTCCACCTAGTTGTGTGAGAAAAATTGTCACAAAGACACTTTATTAATCCAAACAGGACACTTTGGCAGGAGGGATTTTTTTTCCTCCTTAATACACAATAAAAGCACATTATCACTGTATGGGGAAGATATTTACCTTTATATTTACTCTCTTACACTGAAGGAGAACAGTATCTTGTTAAGTGTCCGTGTTATAAATATCTAAGCACCATTTATGGCTTTTTATATTTTGAGGGAGGTTTATGATTGAACTTAGTATTTTATTCTATTTTAACAAAATCTTAGAGAAAGAAACACAATATTAAAAACATGTGTTTATTTGAAATGTGAGAAATTAATCCTTCTTATTTTTCTGATTTTCTGCTTAATAGTTGGTGATCAGAGTCCACATGTCTGATGACAGCTCAAAAACAATGATGGTGGATGAGAGACAGACAGTGAGACAAGTATTAGACAATCTGATGGACAAATCACATTGCGGTTACAGTTTAGATTGGTCATTGGTGGAAACCATCTCTGAATTGCAAATGGGTAAGTAATAATTATAAACATTTATAATTCTTACCTATTTATGTAATACTTGTCTATATTCTTGTCTTCATAATGTTCATCATCCCATTCATTCATATAGTAAACATTCATTCATGTAATAAAGCTCATGAATGATGTAGTTTCAGAATGATATGGGAATGTTTTCTTCTTTCATATTAAAAGCATGTGTAGATTCTGAGGTGTGATGTAGTAATTTTACTATTGTCTAGTCACTGATACTCTTGATTTTTATGTATTCCTCACAGAAGAAAGAGGTAAGGGATAAAAAACTTAGCACTTACCATGCATCTTCCTCTTTGTAAATAGTATTTTATACTGGTCCTAATAGATCTTAGTACAAAAAGCTCTCTACATTTTTTCTGTTAAATATTTTAATGCAATTGGCAATAACGTCTCTGAGGGCAATTAAAGCTCTTTTGTGCTGCATCGCACATACCAAAATGTAAGTTGTCATGTAGTCAAATGATACAACATCTCAGTAGAAAAGGGGGAAAGATATAGAAAACCAATGTTATTAATCCCCATTATCAGAGAAGAATTACATCAAAGAGTTGTTAAGCTTCTTACCTGTTGACTAAAGAGAATCCCAAAACTGATTTAAAATTAAAATTCAAATCAATATTTCCTCTTTCTTTTGGTGAAACCTTTTCAATCTCAGGCAATGTGGCATGTTAACTTTGCTGATTGTTAGACAGAAAATGCTGTTGTAAGGTAACAAGGTATCCTTTGACTATTCTACCTTCCACAGGAAAAACAACCTCTTTCTAGGCTCAAATCCTTAAAATTTTAATAAATGAAAACTTGCATTGTGCAATTTTGAAACTAGAAAGAATTTCATAAATTCTATGTAAAAACAAATTAGGTATGTAAAAATCAAAGCTGTAATTCTGTAATATTTTACCAATGAGAATAATATGAATAAATAGCCTTATTAGTTCTGCAATAGTTCTGTGTTTCAGTCCAGCAGGATCCTGGACTCAGAGCTCAACCAGGGGTCTTTCCCATCCTGGATTTGCTTTCATAAGACACTTCCATTCACTGTGCAGCCTGGAAAAAATAAAGGAAAAGATAATGGAAAAAAATATTTTCAATGAATATTGGAAACAAAGAGCTAGGCTGCAGCCGGAAAGATAAACTGATATTTATCCAAATTAACAGTGTGTCCAAATTAAGATTATTTTCAAATGAAACCAGAGTTAAAAAATCTCTCTTGTTGTTGAGTGTTTTGCAAGTATATCAGTTTTGTCTTTAATTTTTCAGTTTGGCTGTCCTTGCTCCTTGGTAGAGCAACTTTATTTTTTCATCGATTTCATATACATGTGGTTTTTTAAAAGACAATCCGAAATGCAGCCAGTTTGAATCATCTGTTTTATCCTGGAACTTGAAAAAACAGATGAAAAAATGGTTACAACAAAGCCCTCACCCTATGTACAATTATGTATTGTATTATGTTATTTTGCCAGTGGCTCATCTTTGAAAACATTTTTTCTGGCAATGCCTATGCAAGAGGAAGAAACTCCTTTATTATAATATTTTCCTTTAGCAAGACACAGAAGACCTACATACCTTCACAGTGTATTTCACCATGTTGTCTTGTCAGTTGATTCCTCATTAATTGCACAGTTCAATAAAATGCAGTGAAAGCTTTAAGCTCATAAAATGCAGAGAAAGACATGAGGCCTGTGGAGTTCTGGTTGTCTTTGCATTTTATGTGATCTGTTTCAAATGTGTGTGGTTAACTAGTGAGGAGTCTGATGTAGGTACGTGTACTTGAAGTAGAAGACCACCTGTTACTATCGAATGGTTTAACCAGGAGCTTTATATGTACTTTTAGAAGAACTCACTAATATTATTTCCAGAATGTGAAATGAAATGCTTTGCCCAGTTTTATCCTGCAAGTTTGTACCAGAAAGAGCTCTGGAAGGTTTCTTTTGGTTGGGACAATGGTTGTTTTAGTTTTTTGAGTTAGAGCAGATTATATCTATGAAGTATCTGAGTTACAGTGTTTTAATTTCAGAGGATATGTTTAATAATAGGAACACTACATTGTATGCAGTTTTACATACTATAGGTACATTATACTCAGTGAATAAGTTGCTTTGTGTTTGAGTTCAATTATTGTTCGCATAATAACAGTTGATATGTTTTGAAAGCTATCCAGTTTCACTAATGAGGCTGCAGTGAAATTTAAGCTTTTGTATCACTGTTCTCTGAAGTTTTTTGTTTTGTTCTTCTGTTAGGTAACACCTTTTTTACTTTCTTGGAAGACAGTATTGCTGATAAAGCAATACTGATGAAAGTCGTGAGTTGTAACTTGAAAGCTTCTTAGAGAGATCTCATTGAGACCTACAGGAATGTTGAGTTGTCATCTCAAACCTTAATTCATTTCCTACAGATGACATTTTGTTGCGTTCACTCTGCTAAATTACCAACGATGTTGAGATGTCATCTGTCATCTCAGTCTTCATTAGTGATAGCTCCTAGGTCTGGATGTGATCAGTGCCATATACCCTCTGTAAAAATGTGGTGCGATTGATTTTGTGGAAAAAAACATGTTCTGCTTTCAGATGTGATTGAAAGGTCAAGCAAGTCCCAAAGGATTCTGAAAGAAATAATTGGCTGCAATGCCACTGTGTGGCCTATGGGAAGAGGGAACAAATTGCAGAATGAGCAGTTCTACTTCAGTGTCTTTGAAAGAAGGAGAAAGTTGATCTAGTGGTTCCCCAAAGATATATTCTTTCTTATTTATTTTAGAATAAGGGGTTTCAGATACTTCTTTACCATTTCAGTAATTTCTTTTTCTTCTTTTTCTTCTCTTTTTACTTCCTCTCTACTGTTTTGCCTATTTTCAGTATCTTGTACTAGTGATAACTATTTCAACGGGGTCAAAGCTCAGGGTTTTCAGAAGCCGTTGTTGATACATCATTTATTGAGCAAGACAGATTGCAAGAAATAGACAGTGTCAGTTTTCAGATTTCTTTTACCATACCCCTGCTAACCACAGCTATTCTGCATTTTGGAGGCATTTTGTTTTCCCTCTGATCATTGTCTTACTTTTTTGTGATAGTTTATGAGTGAAATAGTGATTAGGGATGTAGAAACAAATTTTCTGCTGAAAAGCTGTCTAATAAATTCCTACAGGGATTGCGTGGACCAGAGTACATATAAATGTGGTAAGGTGCTTATTTGTACTTATTAACATTTGAAATGTTGTCATTTGAGTCTGCTGTGTTCATGTGGGATGGTAGGCTTTGTCAGGTAAAAAAGGAAAAACACTTCAGGCTTATAGTTCCATCAATATATGAAGAGATGGAAGTGAGTGTTGAGTGAGTGTATGTGTAAAATTAAACCAGGCGTGTCTGAAAGTTGACTAATTCTTCTAGTTTCTTAGTGTAAATTTCCCTATTTTAGTAGCCTTGAACTCTGTTTTCTTTCCATATATGCCTTGTCTCACAGATATGACTACAGAGTAGTTTCTATCCCAAAATGTGACAGAATCAAATGTATTTGCTCTCTTGTTATTGCTGCAGAAAGGATCTTTGAAGATCATGAAAATTTAGTTGAAAATCTTCTGAACTGGACAAGAGATAGTCAAAACAAACTAATGTTTGTGGAACGTATAGAGAAATACGCACTTTTCAAGAATCCCCAGGTAAGCCTGAAATTCACGTTGAATGCGTGGGTGCATGCATGCCTGATTGCAGTTTCTGACTTCTTTTGGTATCATTCATTTCCATGCTTTTCTTTTGGTACTTGTGTATGTATTAAAATGCCAGCAACTTTATGCTGCAGCACAAAATCAAATCCCTAGCAGAAAACTATGAGCTGAAGCAATCTGTTTGCTAATGTGTTTGTGGGTAATTTCAATGGAGATGAAGGCAAGCCGTTTCATGGAATTTACACCAATACTTAATGCTGTTCAAAGATGTAAATATGCAAGAAAGGCATTGACAGATCCTGCTAATAATCATGTCTCTGTTGCTGGCAAGAAGGGGAAGAGAAAATCAAAGAGAATAGCTAGTCCATGGTCTCTTCACCTGAGTTTCCTGCTCCCTGGTGAGGAAAACAAAGGCCCCTCTTCTCTCTCAAAAGCCTCCCTTTTGAAGCTCTTTGACGAATTTGAATTGAAAGACCTGGAAAAAATATCACTTGATCTCTCTTTTAACTCTTACCTAATGTATTGTTTTTTGGGGTCATAGATTATTTTTATGTCTGCATGGCATCTATGTGGTAGTGTCTTGGATTTAACCTGTCAGTTTTGCACACACATCCTTTGAGACATCATCGGTGTACTTGATTTTAATTTTTTTGTAAGCAGGAATTGAAAAACTGCTCTTATTCAAGTGCTTTGTGATGAAGGAGAAAACCTCTAAATTCTTTTTAAAAAGCATGTAGTTGATACATTTACTGTCAGTACTTATGGTAGGCACTGTCAACATGAATGAGGTAGCAGCATAAAACCAATATTTCTTCTTGGTTTAAAATATTGAACTGTCTAAACTTTGTGAATATTGGTTGGTTTTTTCCAGTGTAAGGGCTAGGGGGTAGGAAGCAGAAAATTGTCATTGTCTCAGTCCCTTGCAAGCTGAAGAAGAGTACAAAACTTCTTGCTATGCAGTACCTATGCATAATTACATTCCTTTTAAGAAGGCAAGGAGTATTTAGTAACTCTTCATGAAAAATAAAGGGGGGGCTACAGGAGGGATAGAGAGGGACTCTGTCAGGGAGTATAGCGATAGGATGAGGGGTAACGGTTTTAAACTAAAAGAGGGGAGATTTAGGTTAGATATTAGGAAGAAATTCTTTACCATGAAGGTGGTGAGACGCTGGAACAGGTTGCCCAGAGAAGCTGTGGATGCCCCATCCCTGGAAGTTCTCAAGACCAGGCTGGACAAGGCTTTGAGCAACCTGGTCTAGTGGGAGGTGTCTCTTGCCCATGGCAGGGTGGTTGGAAAAAGGTGATCTTTCAGGTCCCTTCCAACCCAAACCATTCTGTGATTCTATGATTTGGCTTGATTTCAGAATGCCTATAGAAATATTAAGCTTTCTCTTGTTACAGAACTATCTTCTGGGGAAGAAAGAAACCTCTGAGATGGCAGACAGAAATAAAGAGGTGCTGCTAGAGGTAAGACTGCCAAAACAAAAAGGTCATAGTGGTCATTGCGGAGTTGGAAGCTAAACTCTAAAAGAGTGTGATGGTTGGAATTGATGGATGGAGCTGAATGTAATTCTGGAACAACTGTGAATGGAATGTGTTGCATTTGAGATAAATGGCTATTTTGATGTTACGCTGTTTGAGATAGTATCAGTTAATAAAAATTTGTCTATATTTTCTTTAATAACTAAAATGCTATACACAGTGATAATCAAAAGGAAGTTACCTGTAACTGTGGCTAAAACCAGTTGAAATTTGCAGAACTGTCACCTGCTTTTTTCACCTGTAGTGGTAGAGATTTTTTTACTAGTACTCTCCAAATGGTTATTCTCTACAGCATCTATAGCGTTAGTTCAGTGAATGGTCTATGTTAGTATTTTAAATTTTGTTAGTAAGCAAAATAATTAAACGTTGTTTCAATTACACTTCAAAATAAGCAATCAAATATTAAATTTAAAAACTGACTGACAGAAAAGGAAGTTAATTAGTATCAAACTCATTTATAGTATAAAGAAGTAAGGACAACAAAAGAAATGTGTGGAACATATAAAGCAAACAGTAAACATAGCCTCCATAAGCTGAAAGCTGAATGGTTTTGTGACATTTTTGTAGAGACGTAAGAATGCTGAAGTGTCTTAGCTTTCACTTGATTTCCAGAATAATTACTATGATTTCAATAGTTACACAAAAGTAAATGTTTTGGGTATTTAATTTTGGATTACACTTAAAACAGTTTAACTTATAAGTAGCATATAGCTCTTAGTATGTTATTAATATGGGTTTTAATAAGTGGTCATGTGAATACTTCTGATCAAAAAGATGCTTGAAGCCATGACATGTGGAGGTTTGTAATTCTATCTAATTCTCTCTGTCTTCTAGGATTACTCATAAATCTCTCTGCTACATATTAGTCTGGACTGTATTTGAAGCATTTGCTTTCCTCTGTTAGCTCTTTCTAAATAGAACCTTAACAGAAGTTACAGTGTTGGCAGTTAGTAGCAACAAAGTACTCATGGAATGAATTATAGATATATCTGGTGGATATGTAATGAGGTTTTGTGTATAGATTTATGAGGTTATATCTATAAGGTGAGCGTGTGACTGTAAAGCCATTGGGAGATCTATTACTGATAATCAGTGGTTAGAAAATCTTTACAGTAGCTGCTAATATTTTTGTTGTGATCCTTGCACCAAGAAAACACTAAAATCCCCTATTGTGTTTTAATTACCTTACAGCTTCTAGAATTAATCTCTAATTCATATTACTGCATGAAAAAAGAGCTGTTCCTGTTATGTGTGCATTCCTTAGATAAAGAATTCGAGAATTTCAGTCATTTAAGAACAAACCACTGCATGCTGGATGTTCTGTCTCTTTCACTCTTCCCAAACCACTGTGTTTATTGGCAGGAATGTTTCTGTGGAAGTTCTGTAACTGTGCCAGAGATTGAGGGAGTTTTGTGGCTGAAAGAGGATGGTAAGAAATCTTGGAAGAAACGTTACTTTCTTCTTCGAGCTTCTGGAATCTACTATGTCCCTAAAGGGAAGGCAAAGGTATGCTGATTTAAAGTAATTTCCCTGAATTGTTTATTGCTGGGAACCCATGCACGCAGGAGTCAGCCTTAAATTTTGGCTTAGCTGTGCCTTGCCTAGTGCCACATCCCTTAATTAAAAGTGCGGCTTTATCATGGAAATATTGTGTAGATTACTGTGGTAACACTTGATGTGAAGGGTGGAATGCCAAATTTAAAAATACAAGAAGACAAGGGTCTGCTTTTTGAGTGAGCTTGGGGTTAGGTGTTCAGAAGCACTTGAGGAAAAATAATTGGTGGAGTTAAGAGGCTGTCTTTTCCCAAGTAGAATTCAGATGAAGGGCCAAATGAAGCTCCTATATCAGACCAGCTCCACAATCAGTTTGCATAATTTCATTGGTTTCGTATAGTTAGTTCATATAAATGGGATTTTTTTTAGACTAATTTGTGCTATGTTTTTTGAAACTGGTAAATATAACACCATTTCTTCAATGTCACTTACTGCTGTTCTGTATGTTATCAATAATGAAAAGTAAATAGAAAGCTGATACAAATGCACCATAGCTTCAAGGCTGAACTACTGTGAGTTCAAGGTGTCCATGAGTCTTGACAGCATCAACTGATCCCCAGTGCAGGAAGTCTACTTCCCACACAGCTGACAATGAAGAGGAGATCTCCCTTGAGAGCTGAATACATCTCAGATGTTCTTTCCACAGCCTTTTGCTTCATTAAAACAATCTGTATGCAAGATAGCCTGTCGGAATTCTGTGCCCTACAATCACTGCCAAACATCATTAGAATTATACTCACAGTCACATGGGAATTTGAATATCTTGATTGTTACCAAGATGAAATGTAACCATCAGCTGTTAAAAAGTTCCTGGTCAACTGATCCTATTTACTTTCTATTGATTACCAACTCTGAATGAACCAGTGTAAAATGTTGTCAAAAGGCAAAATGCAGAAAAACCACAAAAAACCAGACTTAATTTGGGAAAAGGATATCCTGCTTAAAAATGAATGTCTGACGGAAGGCTTTATGTGTGGCTGTATCTCCTTCTTGTATTGGTAGTTTTCGAATCAGGTTGAAACTAATATTAGGCCTTAACTAGATCTTATATTAGTATTGGATCTTAACACTAGACTGATTTTGTCATGGTTTTCTTATAAAGATGTTTTGTAAATTATTATTTTTGTATTTAATAGGTCTCGCGAGATCTTGTGTGCTTTCTACAGCTAGATCATGTCAATGTTTACTACGGACAGGATTATCGGAACAAATACAAAGCACCCACAGACTATTGTTTAGTCCTAAAGGTAACTTGTTAATTTTTTTTTAAATTCTTATACTGAAAAGAGCAATGAAAGAGCTTGAAACATTTCCACACTAATCTTAGTCCCTTATAATAGCTACACTTTCTGATGGTGAACAAGAGCTGATTAACAATCTTGGGAAAGATTTTATTTTAGAATATGCTTCCTATAGTAATACAACAATTGGAAAACTATGCCTGTCAGTTTTTCAAGTGAGTCTCTAATTTGTTTTCATTCTGCACATGAGAAGTCTAGATTGCTATAAGTTACAGTGACAATGAGAAAGCTATGCTTAACTATATTTTCTGTTGAGTTGTTGTAATGACCCTCCTTGACAGAAATATAGTAAACAAATTAGAAAATGCCATGCAGGGACTAGTGCAGAGCAAAGAAAAGGCTATGAGTCACTTTCTTCCCCATCAGGCCGACAGATTTCTTCCTCCTGCCAGAAGATCCTTGTGGATTACATGGTGGGGGAGGAAAAAATATCATAGAAGCAGCAGAAGAATGGCTTTACTGGATTCATCTAGCACTCTAGGTTTCTCTGACAGTGCCCTTTCTTTGTAATTTGCTTAGGGAAAAATTAGAAGTACAGGACAGTCTTGCAGAAATACTTCCACGGAATACTTTTTCAACCTTTAGAAATTTAGAAAGCCAGGAATCTTGGCTGTTTAATACCCAAAGGTGCATTCTTACTCGTTGAGTATGTCCTGTCTCTTTTGGGATTCCAAGAAACTTTTAGAATGCTGCAGCAGTTGGGTACTTGTATGTGCTTGTGTTTTTTCGGAGCCGTCAGTTGCTTTCCATTTCATTTTCGCCTCATTCTTGTGTAGGAAGTGAACAGTTAGTGAACAATTGCTGCCTGTTCTCCATGCTCCTCATGAATTTGTAAATGTTTTCATATTGCCCTGAATTGTCTTGCTTCCAGACTGATGTGTCCCAGTCTATTTAATTGTTCATCATACTCTAAAACATAACACTAAACTCTTTTTGACCCTTTGGCAACTCTATACCTTACAACAATTCAGGCTCAGTGTGATAATACCACTTGACAGGCTAACTTCAGGAAGTTGCCGTTTTCTCAGAGCGTAGGTCCAGAGTTGTTCAGAAATTGGTACTAGAGTCAAGTTTACCCATATTGCCCAGCCTGAGGGAAGCAGCGTGCTGACGGAAACAGGGAGAAACTTATGAGTATAAAGGACAGGTAGAAAGAACAAGTAGAAAAAAATGTTGTGACAGCAGTGACCTCATCTTAAACTGTGAGATTAATAACTTAAGTACTTCAAGTTATTTTAAATTACATCAACTCTTCTCCCAGTCTCTCTTGACTCCCACATAGTGTTCAAAATTATGTCAGTTCCTGCAGCATAGCTAGCTACAAAGCTATTTTAAAACAAGTTTTCACAGTATGTTCATAGCAAGTGAAGTGTCTTCATGGATTTGAAAATGGTGCAAGTAACAAGAAATGGTTACAGTTGAACTTACAGGTTTCCTTTGACCTCTTACCTCCCCTGATTTGTAGTTCATGTGATGTTGGGTATGTCAGTACATTAGAATGTTTTATGTGCTGGAGTTATGTGGCTGCCTGTCCACTGTGTAAAAAAAAAAATAATTATTTAATCTCCCAATACACAAGACAACTTGCATTTGGAACCACTGAGAGGTAGACACTGAGTATCACATATGGGACAGGATATCAAGGGAGAAAGCATGCAGCTGAAACGGGAAATGTTTTCCATGTTCTTATAGGTCATTGGCACAGTTAACAATGCAATAAAAAAAGCAAAAATGTCCCTGTTTGTAGGTATTTATAAATTCCTTGAAGAAAATTGATTTCTTCTGCTTGCACATCATTTTCTATCCACATCATTCTGACAGGTTAATAGTGAATTATTTTTTCACTTAATATTATTTTCTAAGTTTTGTGCCACAAAGATTCACTAAGCTGGGAAATATCTCCAAAACATGAACATGTTTTTGAAGAGGTGAATGGCAAATACAAACTGAAAGGCCAATTCTTAACTGAAGCCCAGAATGGATTTGTCATTACATGTTTGCTTCCTTTGTTTATCTTGAATCCTAACTGTGCAAGACAGGTGATGTGCTATTGTTAAATATAACATTTGTAGTATATAATATTAGCTCCTTGGTTGTAAATGTTAGATCTCTAAGAGGTTCCTTTATTTCTATATAGCCAAATTTTATAACAAGTTGATGAAAAAGATGGCTTGTTAGTGAAGTAATTTTTTATGTTTCTATAGACTCTTCTTTATTATACAACATATATGTGAAAGAGGCTGGTTGTGAAAAATGAAAACAATTATCTAACATCATAATAAAGTTAGTTAGATATGTTCCGTTTGTGGAGATAAACATTTTCGTGTTCATTTTGAAATAGTTTGGAAGACAACAGGAGAAAATATTCTGAAAAGAAATCAAAAATTCTTTGATATATGTTTCAGACACTCTTCAGTGAAACCTAAATAACTATGATCATCTAGCAAAACTCTGTGTCACTGAACTGTAAGCTAACACAGGAAATTATAAGAACTTGAGTATTTCGAGTTGCCCCAACAGCTGTGAGACATGTAACTTCTACAGCGTGGACAGGAAAGAATTGAGTCATCCATCCAGAATGATTTCCAGTGTCTGATTTTTGAAAAATACAGATTTCTTTTCTGACTGCTGAATTGATAAATACAGTGCCTTTTCTTTTTTTTATACATGCATGTGGGAGCAACAAGTATTTTAGATGAGAGCCCTGTGTCAGTAGGGTGGAGACCTTGAAGGCTCTACAAGCTGCAAATGGAATTGTGCATAACGTGTAATTTGTGGAGTGTCTCACTCAAGCCATACAAAACCAGAGAAGATTGGTGTATGTGTTTTCCTCCAGTTTGTTTTGGTGTAAGAGGAAGATGAAATACTAGTTACCTCTCTCAGGCGGTGAGTTAATCTATAGATCAGTGAAAGGAGACAACTCTTTACGCTTTGGCAGTCTCTTGTTTGTGTTTAGAAAAGGTTTTTACAAGCTGAGATTGTTCTGACCACTTGGCTCGAGAGTATAAAGATTTCCAAAGAGCTTTACAGGTACAGAAGACTCTGTTAGTAGGTAGAAATACTAAATACGAAAATGCTGAAAGATTCGCCCCTTCTTAGTGTTTCAAACCTGAAATCAGTGCACACTGGACACAGTGCCAATCTGTCTGCGAGACAATCCTCATTGCCACCTTCTGAAATACTCTCAAATATTTTAAAGTGGGCTCAAAGTACAGATTACTGTTGAAGAGCTTCCAGCATTAAGTTTTTGTGTATAGACCTCAACAGATAAATGGCTTTCCTTGCATTCCTAGCTATTAAAATATTGATGAGGATTACCAATTTTTCTGCAGCATCCTCAGATCCAGAAGAAATCCCAGTATATCAAGTATCTTTGCTGTGATGATGTAAGGACTCTACACCAATGGATCAACGGCATCCGCATTGCTAAGGTAACCTCCTCTAGGTGGTCTTGCACTGTTGTTGTGAGTTGTTGTCATTGTCTGTTTGAAACCATTTACTGTTACTTAGCAAAATACGTGCTAAATCTAACTTCCCTCTGTTTAACTATTCTGAATGTGAAATACACAATTTTCTTGCATATTTCCTTCCCTAGCAAAATTGTTAGGCTTTGTTGTTATGATCGTTCAGTAATTGGGCCCTTTCCTCTCGTTTCTCCTGCACCTCTTTGTCACACAACGTAATTCTAACTGATGTAATGGCTAGATTTACGCAGCTTCCTTAAAGATTTTAAAAAGAAGGCTTATGGGAAAAGAAGGGAATTGAGAAAACAGAATTGTTTTCTAAGATCCCGAGGTTGACTTATTTATTCATTGGCCCATTTCTTGCTTGACACAATGTCTTCTAGCATAAGTATAATGGTTTTTTTCTTTCAGCAGTTAACTAATTAAAACGCAAAAAGGTTGGGGTAAAGGAGCTGCCACTTTTGTTAAATAAAACAGAATGAAATTTGCACTGAATTAATGTTGCCAGAGCTCTTTAGCAAAGACCCTGTTATTTCTCTCTGGGTGGGGAAAAATGGTGGAACAGAGACGCCAGAGGTGGAGCTCAGCAGTATGAAAAGGGTACACACCCTATACAGTTGTTAAATTTGTCTGTCATTTTGCTTAGTATGGGAAGCAACTCTACATGAACTATCAGGAAGCACTGAAGAGAACAGAATCGGCGTATGACTGGACTTCCTTGTCTAGCTCCAGTATCAAGTCAGGCTCCAGCTCATCTAGTTTGCCAGGTAATAATGTGATCTGTCTTCTAACAGAAAGATTTGATTACCTTTTTTATCATCTGCTATCTGGACACCTCAGGAGAGACTATTGCAGAAAATGTACTGTTTCTCCAAAGTCTTTTATGTTATGTTTTGTCTAAAACATAGATTTTATGTTTAATATATATATAAAAAACCATAAAATCCTATTTTATTATATTACTTGCAGTGGTGTATGTATTTGGAACATAGAGTACTTTCTTGTTCACCTCCAAAAAAGAATGTTTTTCCAATATTGAGAAGTCGGATCTTCCTTTCAAATTCCTAATGCCTATGTCTTCACCTATCTGAAAAAACAAAGCAAATCTGTATTTTCATGATACATAGAGACTCGTGTGTGTGGCTCGTAAACTGATATTGTTGGTTGAAATATTTGAAATTGCAAAATAAGCAATAGTCTCTGCCTAAAGACAAAGATACAAACAATGTCTTTAGAGACAAACTTTGAAAATACTGTTGCTGTTCCTGTGTCAAACTGTGTGTGCCTGCAGTAACATGCTCTTGTTTACCTCTCAGCAGGACCAGGACTGTTCTTGTGTAGCACATAACATTTTAAAAATTGATGAATGGTTTATATAGCCTCATTTCACTGTTCAGAGCTGACTGACACTCTGCCAGGTTATTTTGAACCCTCAGGGGCAGGTTTCATTATTGAAAACAGGTCATTGTGTGAAAATGTTTTGTCCATCAGAGATACCAGTCAGGAAGTAATGATACTGAACTGGAAAGGTTCAGGAAGTAGCCTGTGAGAATGAGCTCAGTAAATTCAGCCTAACTGGGAAGGTGTCATGTTTTTAAAACTGTGTGGAACAGCTTGCCAGGTGTAGCAGTACATTCTCGGTTACTGGCAGTTTCTCCATCTAAGCTTGGGTGTTTTTCTGATAAAGTTTGCCTCGTGCGTAGCTGACCCATGACCCACCAGCCATGCATGTTCTGCCAGAGCTACAGTCCAGCCTGTGCCTAGATGCCTAGATGTCTTTTCCCCCAGGACTGCTTGGGACTACACAGAAGGCAGGTTCCGGGCTGGCTAAATCAGTCTGGCAGTGGCTGCTGCTGCGCTTTTAAGATACCCTGTGGACCGACCCAGGGCATCATCTGCATTTGTTGGTTGCATGATAGGATACATTCCTTCTCTTCCCTTGAGGAATAGAATAGTCAGAAGCAGACTGCAGCCTCTGCTAGCAAAATTTGCCTGTCCTCAGCCTATGTCCAGTGCCTGTTTCTGAGGTTGTGCTGGGATGGAGTGCTGGAGAGAGCAGGCTGCGTGCATTGCGTGAGATTTTTTTTTTTACATTCAGGAACATATGCTAACTGTTTCTTAACTTTCTTCTAAACAGAATCTCAATCAAATCATTCTAATCAGTCTGACAGTGGAGTTTCTGACACCCAGCCAGCTGGACATGTCCGTTCCCAAAGTATTGTCAGCTCCATGTTCTCCGAGGCCTGGAAACGAGGCACTCAACTGGAGGAATCCAGCAAGGTAACAAGAAGACTTTAGTTTGAGAACCAACGCCCAACCAAATGTCCGAGACAGTGTGATACCTCTTCCCCCTCTGTCTCAAGTGGGATTTCTTCTCAGGATTTTTTCTCATTCTATGTTATTGACATACACTGCCATGTAATTGTTTTTTCAGGAATCACTTTTTCAGGGAATTCGGCCCTGGAACCTTCTGTTCTTGTGGTTTTTTGTGTGCACAGAAGCCCTCTGTTCTTTGAAGGCACAATACAGCCCTTCCCATAGAATCCTATTAACTGATGTTGAATAAAGATAAAATAAAAAGATCAGCTGTTAACAAGTTGAATGAAATTCTTTCACTAAGATCTTTGTCTAGTTAACTAGTGAATAACAGAGACCTGAATGCAAGTATATCTATTTAAGAAGTTATCCAGTAGTTTTTACTCAGATGTTTTCTATTATGTTTGGTGAAAATGGAAATAGTAACCATAGATATGGTCAAAGAAAAAGTACTAAAATTGACAGCAGTTGTGGATTGAGGCAGATTTGATATCTCTTGTTGAGAGTTACAAAAGATTTTAACTTATTGAAGCCTGGGGCTCAGGTCTGGTGTGTTTGGTTAGTTTTCTGTCCTTTCTGTGGTAGTTGACTGGTGTAATTCCTGAGGAGCACTTCCAAACACAGCTGAATTCCCACTTAAGCTAGTTTTGTTGTCAAGCTCAACAGGTTCTTGAACAGCCATGGTGTCAGTATTAACTGCAGCAGTTACATGTGGAAGTAGTTTGGCAGGATGCTATGAGAAGCTATCTTCACTCTTGTCAATTTCGAGTCTTTCCAAGACCCCAGGTTCAAGTTAGAGAAGCAACCTTTTCAAAACCAAAACCATAGGTCACTGCACCTGGTATTGGTGCATCAAATAAATAACTAAAAATAAGACAGAATGTCACATTTTCAAATCAGAAAGCACATATGGCACAATGTGAAAGCTGACGTGGCTGCATTCTTTTGGGTTCGTAACTTTTTTGCAGTGCCTGCTGGCTTCGAAATTGTCTGATTCTAATAGTAATGTAGGACTCAGCCCAGGAATGTAGCTTGCTAAATTGTGATCCAAATTTTTTTACTGCATGAGTGCAACACCTGGTGCATGTTTATCAGCAGATGGCTTGTGTATATGTACAGGATGCATCATTCCTGCAGAAGCAGGGTAGATGGAAAAGATAAGGCACTTGAGTCTGTCTAGCATGTATCTGACAGAGGTGAGAGAGTACTGCTACAAGAACTGTAATATTACTGTTTCCTGAAGTTTTGGTTTTAACGTGAAAATCTTGCTGCTACACTTTCTGTGAGCTTTTAGAGAAAAGTTAGAGGTTTACTACAGTCAGGTCACTGATGTTCTTATCAAGACTATAGTGCTGTTGGCAGTTGATCATTTAAATAAACCCCAAGAATTTTAACGTTATCTGACTAAAGCCATGTTAAAAATAAAATATTCAGACTGCTCCCTGTTGAGGGCCATCCATGTTCCAAGATTTCATCAATTTGAATTCCTTTCTATGCACAAATCCAAGAAAAGGTATATTTCTCTTCCTTGTGCACAACACAGGTGAATGGATTGCCCTAAAACTTCCCAAGAATCCAAATGAAATGAACCATATAAAATTATAATTTGAAGCCATGTTAAAAAATTCTGAGTAAATTGTTAGCAAATTTACTGTCAGTGAAACTACAGTACATGCTTTTTTATCCTGTATAGGTCTGGCTCAAGGAACTTTAATAAATCAGACTGGCAATGGAAGATGTTAAACTGTGTGGCAAGAAAGGAAACAACAGTGTTGAAAAAATTGTAATGTCAATTAAAAGGTAGTTGCAGTTGCAGTGATGCTGAGACGTGCTGGTTTAGGAAGATTGGCTCCAAACAGTTACTTCAGAGGTGGTTATTTCACAGTGCTTTGGTGACAAAGTTGGCGTAAGAAATTCATACAGGCAGGTTGCTGCAACAGCTCTCTCCCCCCTTGTCACCCTTGTCTCATCCGCTTCAGCAAGAAGGGCAGAACAGACCATGCATTGGCTCAGCAGGGAGGTAACATTGAGGCTAGCTGGCCAGAAGGTCAGGATATTACACTGGTTGGCCAGTGGCTAACTGCACAACAGGTTAAAAATGGGTGAGTTCTGCCTGCTCTTCCCTCATCTATCAGGTGCCGCTTCACAACAGTTTCTTGAAGTTGAAAATATACTGAGATTTCTAGTGCTGTCATATTTGACTGAAATTTACTAACCAACCCAAAAGCAACCAGCATAGGAAAAGAGATAGCAAACAGTTTGATTGAAAAGGCTTGTTTTCTTAGAAAAAACAGCTAAAAAATTAGCATGGCTACTGTTTTAAAAAATAGATACTATTCTTTTAATAGCATTTCTGAGAGTTCCAGATAGTCATTAAGATGCACGTTACAAATATGAATTGATAGTATACAGTAAGTAATTTTTCAGGACATGTAGAAGGACATCACATAGTTATAAGGATGAGCAAGGATAATGATCTGTTTCAGACTTCTTCTATAAACAAAGTATCACTGAATATCTTTCTGGTTGTGGAAATTTAATTTGATTCTGTGGAGATTGGAGGGTGTCCCCCTCCTGAGATGCTTGATATTCTTTTCCCTGTCCTGAGAGTTTGATTTGCCAACTGTGAAAATGGCTGTCTTCAATGGTTATGAGAAAGATTCCTCTTGGTTTCAAATATATCTAAGACTAAAAACCCCACCTTTCCCAAAGTGCAGGTAATTTGTCCACTTCATATTTTGAAAGATTGCTGTTTGCCCAAAGAATACTTTATTCATCTGTTCACATTCTTCAGAGTTTGGCAGTGAAGATCTCATTATGTCTCACTTTGCTTGTTAGATTTTGAACTTGTTATTTCAAATGGGATGCTACAACAGGCATCAAAATGTGTGCTTGCTGTGTGTGCTTTTAGTGACAAATTCAAGAGTCTCCAAGGTCTTGCCATTCAGAGATAGCTATTCCGTTATTCCTGGGTCTCCCTCTCTGTCTGTTTTATGCCGCTTTTATTTTTCCTGTTGCCTTTTGCTCAGGTGTCAAAAGTGAAGCTCAGCACAGCTAAGGTCAGCACACCCGTGGTGCCTTATACAGGGCACAATTAAGGTCAGGTGTTGCTACTTAAAAATTCATTAACCTGGGTGATTGGGAGAATGGTAATTTACAGACTAACACTTGCAAGAGAGCTAGATTTCTCTCCTGTTTTGTTATGTGAACACCTTGATTTAGCTCCAGAACTTTGTTACACTCTTACCTTCCAGACCTGATGTGACAGGTGGAGTCACACTCCTTGTGTGTTGTGAATCACGGTTTGTTGTTTCTGACTCTAATCCTTTTGGTGTTCTTCTGCGCATATAGAAACTCTGTGCAGCTGTATTTAAAAACAAAGCAATATGTAAACCTGCTGATACAGTGCAAATGAGCATAACTGGGCTAACTTGTGGCAAAGTACCTACTAATGAAGTATAGGAACCCAGTGTGGTCAGTTGCCATGTCGGTATTGTGTTTCTAAGGCATGTTTCTGTGCTGTGCACTGAAATTCACAACTTGGGTTGTAGCCAAACCATGTTCTATTAGGAGGATGTTTATAAACTTGAGTAATGCAATTATCTTTTTAATTTTTAACAGGAATAGAAGCTTAAAATTTTAGAGAAACAATTTAACTTGAGCAAAACCCACCTAGTAGACTAAAATGTTGCCTGCTGCTTTCCCATTGCTCATTCCCTTGGTCAGCTTTTCCCTGTTTTTCCTTTCTTTTTTCTGCTTAACGTAATAGTTGCATGTATAGCTTTTTTCCCCAAGCTAACTTTGTTTTGCAAATCTCAAAACATTTCTTTGTGGGGAAATTTTCCTAGGAAACCTCAGTTCTCCCTCTTTTTCTTAATTTTTATTTTCCTTGCCAGTCTTGAATATCAGAGCACGTGGAGTGGAAGAATCTCAGTAATATTCCAGTGTAGAGCTTCCTCTTCACATGTTTTCTGCATTTTGTAACACTGACCAGCGTAAGGCCTGAGCTAACCAACCTAAAGGCTTGAGGGACGCTCTGGGAGGCCATGCATGGTTTACTCTTACTGAGCTGAGGAGGTGTCCACAGCATCTCTTGCTCTGCCTGATGTCCTCTATCATGGCCTGTGGTGTTCTGGGAAGCGCTCTCTTTGGGTCATTGTACTTGCCCAGAGGAGGACCAGTGATTCTCACTGGGTACAGCTGCCTGCCCCACAGGAGTGACAAGGCTGGTGTATTTTCTCCCTGAGGTTCAGCCTGGCTTGGACTAGACCTGGCTCCACTGAGCCTTGCCAGCTCCCCTCCCTGCCTGCCCGCTCAGACTGCACGGTCCAGGCTTGTCAGTGTATGGAATTGTCTTTTGCTGCGTTTTTGGCTAATATTTCCTGCATGCTGTAATCTGCCACTTAATTTTTAATGACAGGCACATTTAGACCTTGACTTTATAATCTCTTTGTCTCTCTCCCTCCCTCCCTCTCTCCCTCTCTATCTTTTTCTTTTTCTCCCTTTCCACTTTCACTAAAAATCCCTTCCCCATAGGCCCGAATGGAGCCTGCAGGTCGGCCCTTCGTGTCTGTCGTACCTCCTGTGTCCCCACAGACAAAAGTGGCGACCCCCTATACAGCATCGCAGCCGTCCCCACCGCTGCCCCCGCCGCCTCCCC